GACACGTTATTATAAGAGTGGAGCACAGAAGAGAAAAAGAGCTGCAGAGGTGACGAGGAAAACGTGTAAACTCGCAAAAATTAACATCTTGGTTAAATCCAAGCCAGTGCCGTCTTAAGACCTTTGTCTATGGGAAGAACATGGGATTTTATCGTTCAATTTACTATTAAGGGCCTAACTTAAGACGATTTTTGGCTACTGGGGGTGATTGACCCTTTCGCCTCCTTCTTAGCACGGCCCTGAGTATATAGAGGCTTATGGGCCCCAGTCCGTTACTGTGTCCAGGGCCTCCGCTGCTGATAAGACGGTCCTGCCCACACCAGCAGGTAAGACTGAAGTTCAGTAGGCCTCCGACTGTAGAGAGTAGAGAGCATGTTGATAATTTTTAAACGCCAAAATTGTTAAATTGAATTATTTAAAAAATATATATTTAACGCCAAAATTGTTAAATTTTTAAAAATAATTTTCCCAAGATGATAGGGGCGCAATTTTAGTTCTTGCCGTATGCGCAATATGTCCTCGGTAGGCCCTGTGTGGGAGACTCTAATACTTTATTATGCAAATTAGTAGGCCTACAACTCCCTAAAAATCTATTTTATAATCGACACCATACATCTTTTATAAGATATTACTCTGGAGAATCGTATGATGCATCGCTAGAAATTCCTGAGGACAAGTCAGTAAACAAAACAAGGCTTGAACACTAAATCCCAGCCACTTCTTTCCATTGGTGTGTGGCTTGATGCAGAGTCGTCGCTTGGGTCATTCAACCTTTGACGCTCCAAAGGGGTGGGGGGCTCAGATATGCAAGGAGCCCAGCTTGTGATGTGGAAAATTCTGAATTATCAAGTTTGAATGCAAGGTCCAAGGAGGAACAAAATCAAGTGGTGGCATGGCTCTGGCTCCAAAGGTTGCAGGGCTCTGGCTTGAAAGGTGGCAGGGCTCTGACTTTATGTTGCAATATAACTGATGTTGCCAGTAAAATGACTACACAAGGCAGAGAATGGAATTGTCTAGTTCCACGGCAACTTTGAGATATTATGTGTCCCAATGCTAAAAAATTTAACAAAAGATAAAATACTCTAACAATGTCTTGTAGAATTAACTAGAGTGTGAATGTATTAGACATACTTAGAGTGTGAATGTATTAGATATACTTTGAGTGTGAATGTATTAGATATACTTAGAATGTGAATGTATTAGATATACTTAGAATGTGAATGTATTAGATATACTTAGAATGTGAATGTATTAGATATACTTAGAATGTGAATGTATTAGATATACTTAGAATGTGAATTTAGATATACTTAGAATGTGAATGTATTAGATATACTTAGAATGTGAATGTATTAGATATACTTAGAATGTGAATGTATTAGATATACTTAGAATGTGAATGTATTAGATATACTTAGAATGTGAATATATTAGATGTACTTAGAATGTGAATGTATTAGATATACGTAGAGTGAGAATGTATTAGATATACTTAGAATGTGAATGTATTAGATATACTTAGAATGTGAATGTATTAGATATACTTAGAATGTGAATGTATTAGATATACTTAGAATGTGAATGTATTAGATATACTTAGAATGTGAATATATTAGATGTACTTAGAATGTGAATGTATTAGATATACTTAGTATGTGAATGTATTAGATATACTTAGAGTGTGAATGTATTAGATATACTTAGAGTGTGAATGTATTCCAATAGGGAAACGTTTCATGTGCAATAAAAACGAAGGCTTAAAGACTTTGAGAGTTTGACCTGGAGTCAAGAAGTAAGACCTCAATGGTTGGCATGAACTTAAATCTACAATGAAGTTGAGAATCAAACTTAGAAAAAAAGACATGTTCGAGCTGCACGTCTTACCTGAATTTCTCTCTCTCTCTCTCTCACTCTCTCTCTCTCCCTCCTTGAAGTCCAAATAATGATGTCCAAACTATGCATCTCTTAGACTTCGTTTGCCATTGCCATACTTAGTGTGTTGTGTTGCCCGACATTATAGCAACATCTGTAAGTGCGTTTATTTTATTGTTAAATAATCCATTCTCATGTTTTTTCTTCTTTGTATTAGTAATGAGTGTTATAGGGAAGGAGGAAGTCGAGAACAAGATTCACGTCCAGCTACGCCTCCAAATAACCTATGACCTTTCCGACGTTTGCGTTATCAGCACACTTCTTGGAAAGAAAAAGGCTGGTTTTAATGATCTCCCTTACATTGTGTACATTATGTAACTCTACCACAGTAGTTCGTTTGGGGCCTAATCGGCAGCTGGTGGGGAACCTTCCCGGTTCCTTCGCCAGATCGATTTTGTTTCTATTTATAGTATAAGATTAGACAAATGACATCACAATTTATTCGAAAATCGTTGCTTAGTTTTATTAAGAATGGAATAGCTCTTAGTAAATTAGGCTTCAAAATTAAACTACTTTGATCTCTTCGAGTTTTGTTGTTCAACTTCTCTGTGGGTCTAGTATCATTTACAATGATAAAATAAAATGTTATTTGATATTACCTGGGTTAAAGTTTCGGGACTATGTTTCAACGTAAGCATCTTTGGCTCAGGAGGTGTGACCCAGTGGCGTCGCTAGGGTTGTTGTCACCCTTTTCTGTAAACTCATAGTGTCACCCAAGCCCTTCTAGGCTACCCCATGGAATGACTACCCAGTCTGCCTGTTCTGGTGGCAGCTTTCACTTGTGGCATCCTGCTCTGTCTGGTGACATCCTGGCCCTATGGTCCACCATGTTCTGAGGGCGCCCTGTTCTGATGACACTCTGGCCCTTTGGTGCCACCATGTTCTGAAGGCGCCCTGTTCTGATGACACTCTGGCCCTTTGGTGCCACCATGTTCTGAAGGCACCCTGTTCTGATGACACTCTGGCCCTTTGGTGCCACCATGTTCTGAAGGCGCCCTGTTCTGATGACACTCTGGCCCTTTGGTGCCACCATGTTCTGAAGGCGCCCTGTTCTGATGACACTCTGGCCTTTTGGTGCCACCATGTTCTGAAGGCGCCCTGTTCTGATGACACTCTGGCCCTTTGGTGCCACCATGTTCTGAAGGCGCCCTGTTCTGATGACACTCTGGCCCTTTGGTGCCACCATGTTCTGAAGGCGCCTTGTTCTGCTTTCACCCTCCTCTTTTATTTAGATCCATTATCAAACCGATTTGGATGAGCAGCTCTGTCAATTTTCCTATTTGCATCACTACGCAGCCTACAGGTGTTTCAACATCTATCACAAATATACCCATTTACATTTTCTGACGTTGTCATTTATATAATAGTTTATTTAGGATTAACAAAGTATGTCCTGTCCCTATTTACTGAAAATATCTGCTGTACGCACAGATGTAAGCAAGCTGCTAAACATTTATTATCTTTAATTGTCTTTTTGACCATATCTCAGGCACATGATTGCCCTATAGCAGATAACATTTTTGGGGCGTTCAAATAACAAACATATTCAATAGATTATTTAATGAATGTAATTCAAATATATAATGTATATATATATACACACACAAGAAGAAACGGTTCACTCATTTCAAACCTGGAGTTTCACTTTTAAGTCTATAAATAACGTCAGAAATGAACCTATGAACAGTATTGACGGATGGGGTTAATGGACACTGTTGACCGCCTGTTGGATGGTGACCGACTTCCACACGAATTAATAACCTTAATTCCCTAACCCTAACCATCATCATCAGCATGCAGAGTTCCTTTCCATGCCCACCTAAAATGAGAAGTATCCTTTATCACTGGTCAGCATGCTCCTTGAGAATTTAAATAATTTAAACCTGGTTGAAAACATTAAAGATTAAAATTTCAAAGTAAAAAATTCGCCAATCTAAAATAACTCACCAATAAGCTAGAGAAAAAAAATCAGTGCCCCCCCCCCTTCCCCACCACTCACTCCACCATAGATGCATCGTGTGTCAAGACATCTGCAATAGTGAACCTTAAAAGTGGATACCGGTACACAAGCAGCATATCATGAGTGCACTAAAGCTAACGGGAACCTGGTCATGTCACAGGTATTCCCCTAAAACTTAAAGACTAACATTCAAATGTATCAGGAGACCCAGGAACTCTTTCCAAAATATTGACTGGCAATACAAACAGTTCTTTGGGTTTCATGGGTTCTTAGCCTGTGGCCAACGGATCCCTTTCGGTTGTGTGTGTGTGTGTGGGGGGGGGGGGTAGTGTCAGTGAAAATGTGTTCCATGGGGATCCCTGAGCTGCATTTCCTTTGTATTTTGAATTCTGAGAAGTGGCTGTGATCTTTATCTGACTGGCAACGAGTTCCGTCGACTAAAAAAGTTTACAATATTAAAAACATACATATATATTTGTTTATTTTGACCTTCCCATGCGAAGGTGATCAAGGCTAAATTCAATGGTGAGTACACAGATGTCTTACCAGTCCTATTTGTGCGAGGAAACCTTTCCCGCACATGGAACACATGTTCTTTGGACGTAAGCGGTGCACTCATTCTCTGAGGATTGTGCTCCGACAGTGAGTCTGTCTCGCCAGCTGTACCGTCCATAGCAAGTGTTTCCCACGAATCAAGGTCAATATCCATGGACTTGAGTGAAGCTTTTAGAACAGTACTTGGAGCGTTTCCCTCAAGAGAGTTCATCAATATTAATCCTTTGGGAAATCTGCTGTCTGCATGTCCTTTTTGTAAGATCGTGCATTAATCTACCATTAAGTCCTACATACTTGCCTACACAACAAGGATACTCTGTTTTGGACAGGGCTCAACTTATGTAGAGATTATGCAAAGAATGTCAGTTTAAGTAGTCTAGCCTTTCCTTTGCTGTTCTTGATTCTTTCCAAGCTAATGAATTTAGGCAAGTACTGCACCTTGTTCATTATGAATTATATAACTTGTTTGAGTTGAAAACAAAGAGTTAAAACACAGAGCCTGGGGCACACACAAATCTTTCTTTTAAAAACTGACTAAAATAAAATGGAAATCAAAGCTATCCAAGGTTATTTTATTGTTCAAGTCACCAGAATGTAAAAATAAAAATTAATACACCTTAGCCATGAAGAATGGAAAAAAAAAAAAAAAAATTATCAAGAGCTCTCAAACAAGTGTTCAGCATGGGGGTCTCCAAACATTTTCTTATGGCCTGAACATTTGAAGTGTCAGAATATGTTTAAAAAAATATTTTAAACTAAATTTTAAAAAGAGAGCAAAAGGTTTGATAATAATATGCTGCCCGACTGTGGTTCTCTGGCCATCGTAGATGTGCCAAAGTAGTCTTTTAGGTAGTTTGACAGCCCCTGCACGTAAATTATTGACTTGACTAACCATTCCAGGTGACACCTCAGTAATGATAAACTTCTATAAAATGTATCTGTGTTACTTTTAAAGAATGAGAGCAGCCCTGATAAATAATACGCTCCCCGCACTCACTCAGCATAACATTGTAACCATTAATTCAATCAAATTCAATGCACAATATTCGGCATTGCATGTATCTCATAAGTGGCAGAGAAAATGACAGATAGGGGATATCAGAGACCCTCTAAATAGATATTCAATAAACAATAACATTTCTAAAATAACTTCACTTAATACTAATACTAACTAATATAAAATCTGAGAGTGAACAAATTCCTTTAAGCCTTATGTTATAAGAGCTAATGTTGTTTTTAGAATTAGAACATGAATTTTATAAAAATCTCAAAGCAAATCAACAAGCCACACCACATGAAACTATATGCTCCAGCTATGCAATATTATAACAGAAAAACAGTTATAAAAGTGTCAAGAACTTTAATACACTGTCCCCTTCGTTATGCCTCAACAATGTATTGAACATGTGGACCTCTTATTTTACCACTGAGCTCCATTTAACCACAAACAAAAAACAGTAACCCAGAATGAAAATAAATAATCTGAAATTTATTATTATATTTTTTTGTCTAATTGAAATTTTTTTAAATGTTTTAAAACACCCTGGCCTGTAAAGAAAATGGCACCCCCAGTTCATTGAGGTCTGCCTCATCCCATCTGTTGCCTACATGTTTACAGACCACTTCCCAGGCAAGTTCCAACAAGTTTCCCACTGCCACCCGCAATGAAAGAATCCTCTTGGTGCGCACCCATTCCTCCCTGTAGTTGGTCACACCACCAAAGATGTAGATGCAGCCCTTCAACTGAAATGAGACAACAGGGGACGTGCTCATAAAAATTCACTACCAACTTTTGAATAAAGTGATCTCCCTTAGGCCATCAGGATTATTTCTGAGGAACAACTAATTATGGTTGTTCTGATCAGTTGGTCACAAAATTGTGTCACATTTTCCTTGAGTAGATGCAGTAGCAAGGTGACTCATTATTTTATTGGGTTTCAGCTCACGTGTATTGATGACAAGTTATGAATAAATTTTTACACAGAAAACTAAAGTGAAACCTATGGTGACGTAATGTCATCAAACTCCAACTTACTGGTGAAAAATCTGCAGAATGAAAGTACAAAGGCACTAACAATGTGGCCGAGTATTTTGTCCAGGTTGCTTTGGCCAGGGAGAATTTCCAGATTTCATTAAACAGTGTTGTTTCATTTGTGGTGGATGTGCCACTGACTCCGCCCACCATGAAAACATCTGCAAATAAAAGAGGCCATGTTAATTGGTACACCAATTACCGTAAAGAAATGGATGCGATGTGAGAAACATAGGAGTCAAGGTGGCAATATCATCACTTATACTCCTCCTCACTGTGTTTTGACAATCTGAATAATCTGTGGGTCAAGACTTTTTTAATTTTCAAGGGGAGAATTTAAGGATTACCAAATGGATTATGCCACGTCCAGCAATTTTTAAACACCCAGGCCTGACATAAAATACACACGTGCAAATCCTTGCCTTGACTTAAGAAAAAAATACCTAATGATCATTTCTTGAAATTTTAAAAAAGTGTCAAGCAATGTTAACTACAAAACTTGTTTTACTGACCATCTTTGTAATGACAGCAACTATGGCACTTTCGAGGTTTAGGATGTCCTGTTGAATAATGGTAGAGATTCATTGAATCACTTTCAATAGTTAACATACAGTATGTTTTAAAAGTTAAATTAAAATAGAAAATGTGACGGTACAAACATAATTTATAAGGAGACAACTTTTTAATTAGTTTCTTTTCAAAGATTGACACTGACAACAATGCCTAAACTTCAGGCAGTAGGGGAAATAATGGTTAAACAAGATTGATTTATTTTTTAAGAAAAAAATCTTTTGTTTTAACTTCACTTGTTTGTTTTCATTTCCCAGGGTTTTGCTTATCCCAGGAAAACCGGAAAAGAAATAATTTTAAAAAATACATATAATAAGTTGAATTTATCATTACAAAAGGTTTTTTTATTTTAGAATTGCTTAGTTGTTATTGTCTATTAATGAATGCAAGATAATGTATGTTAAGGTTCTACGAGAGGTTGGTGATTTAATACTAATTGCTTCACTTCCCCTCACTAAACCCAAGAAAAAGATAACTAGCTAATAATAAGCTTGTTAAAGTAAATGTGGGATATGACCACCTGAAGAAAAAAAACCTATACACTTTTTATGAGTTTTGCTTTATTTACAGGTTGCAAATTCTAGTTTCAAATATTAGCAAGCCAATGTTTTTAACAACTTGTAATGAGGGGTTGTTTCAAAAAAAAAATAATTATAAATTATAATTGTAAATATTAATACTGTTATCTTTTTATGTATGTGTCATACTAGCTTGATGTTGAAAGTGAAAAAAGACACTATAATATAAAAGTAATTTGACATATAAAAATTCTTAGTATAATAAAAAGTATAGTTTCCCAGCCCATGGGACATGATTCAAATGGGGTTCTGAGGGGATTTCCATAGGGTTGCTGTCTGAAACAATGCACCAAGACAAAGAGTGATTTTTAAAGGTTTCTTTTTTAATTGTTCTTTTAGAGTTTGAGTTACAATGTCAATCATGGCATCATAAAATATGTCCTTAATTAGAATACTGAAAAATCTAGTTTCAATGTGTTTTCATTTCCAAAAATTTACTCTATTTAAATGCCTTTTTTTTCAATATATTGTGGTAAGCGTCACTTTGCTTCTAGATAAATGTGGTTGTGACTTGAAAACAGAACTACTGAGCTAATTAATTCAGCACAGTTAACTAGATTTTACTGGTCCTGGCTTACAGTGACAATTTGTGAAAATCTGTGATTTGCTGAAATTTAAAAACAATAAGAAAATTGTATTTTATATGAGTTTACACCGGATTTTTCGGGATGGGAAAGTTCCAGGGAAGTCTTTTGTTTACTAAAAATCAAGAAGATCCAGTTTGATAAAACCTATTTTTTAGTGAGACATCAGCCGTATTAAATAACTTTATAACCATAAATATCAGTGAATTTATGATATGCAAGCCAGCCTTATCACAAGGGTATTCAGTTAAAGAGTGATCAAGCAAAATAATTTTGGTGGATCCCCATATGACCTTTTCTGAAATATTTGTATTTAAAATTTGGTATGGAAGAACCATGTACAGATGGTGGCAACCCCATCATGCAGCGATGAGTACTTTTAACACAACTAACAATCCCACGGAATACGCCACATAGCTTTAGTTTATATTTGTGATCAAACATGAGTGATTAGCCTAACACTTGAAAGTAAAGCTTAAGCTTACCAATAGAGGTAGTAGAACTCAAAATATTTTATTTGTGCATTCAGCTTTGTCTAATTTTATTTTTCCTTTCAATTGTTATCATTCTCATTCTGCCATTACTCACCATGTACTGGATCTGGAAATGTCTTGAGAGTACCCCACTCACAAGATTTTATATTGAAAGTATGAATCTGTGACACAAATATATTGCAGTTAACATACAGCAGTTCTTTCATGGTACACACATACATAAGTTGAGAGGGATAAATGTAATGTAAGCATGGAAACATTATTAACAAGATGAAGAGGGCAATTTCTTACAAATCTTAAAAGAATGTTATGTCATAATAAAGCTCTCTGCTGAAAATCAAGACAATATGAAAAATGCCCTTAAAACCAAATATGTACACAGTCTTAAAAACTAAGCCTCAGCTTAGTTAGACATCATTGCATGAGGCAATACAAATTAATTTAAATAATAACATTGAGTTTTCAGTGAAGCAGTCATAATCTAACTTTAAAAAACAGAAAAGTTTTTTTGGAATTACATTGACTAGTGAGAATGCGTCTCTGTCTGTGCCTCCTCCAAATACATACAACTTTTCCCCATCAAATGCAGTTTCATGTCGATATCTGAAAGGACAATATTAAAAAAACACAACACTTTGAGTTTTTTTATCATAATGATTTGAGTTTTAGCCTGCATATGCTAACAACAACTAGCTGGGAATCACTTTGAAATAATTTTTAACTAACAAAGATATTTTTCTTTTTCTTCTTCTTATATTTGAAGGCCCATGATCAATTTATTGATCATTCTGGCTCCTGGTTTGAATTCAGTGTTTGCCATCTCTTAGATGACTTGCCGTCCAAGGCTAATGAGTCCCATCCACCAGTGGGGCTTAGGATGTTGGCTTTGAGTCAGTTTAGACCGCTCGGCCACCCAGATATAGAGATCTAACAAAACTAACACTGAATGAACCTTTTGCGATCTTAACAAATTTTAAACAGTGAACCCCATGAGATTGTAACAACTTTAAACATTGAACCGTTGAAACACTTTAACGTTTAGTAAAAAGTATTAAAAAAATCCATTTCAATATAAAAAAAAAATAAGCTGTTAAGAATTTCCCACCTTCCCACTGGTTGTCGAGGGTCTGCATCAGAGCTTAGTTTTGTCCATCGTCCCATGGGTGCCCTCAAATCCAAGTGAAAAACTTCTGAATTGTAGATGTACCCTGATGTCCCACCGACTATGTACACGTCTGGAAAACTCATTGTCATTGTCTGAAACATAAGATAACAAAAAGGTTAAGTTTTTCCTATGCAGAAGACAGCTAAATTTTGAAGAGATTTGAATGGTGGAGTAAGCAATTTTAAAAATTAAACAAAAACCAACAGAATTCTGCCTCACTACAAAAAAGGAGAAACTGGTAAAGAAGTCTGTAGAAAAGTTAACAAACATAGATAAAGCAATAGCAGAAAGGAGTATTAGGATAGATAAAGCAATAGCAGAAAGGAGTATTAGGATAGAAGATAAATAATAAATAAATTATATAGTGTTTCAAAATAATTATTTAAGTAAAAAAATGTATAACACTGGTTATAAAAACTGTACACACAAAAATAAATTTAAAAAAAACTGATTGATAAAAAAAATATTTGTCTGGCTCTGAAAATAGATAACAATCCACTTCATTTGTATCAAAGCAGATAAATAAAAAAAACTTAATCTTGAATTTTAGTTTCTTTTCAAAACATTGTGTCATTTATTGGTTCATGTTTGGAGTTGTTCATGTAAAAGTGCTTTGTTTTGAGCCAAGAAAGTTTGGAGAAGGGACAGTCACTTACATGGCCATATCTTTCCTCTGGTAAATCCCCAGCTACTGGAATGAGGTGCCACCGGTTACTGTTACGAATTGTTGCCACCTCGTCTCCCCGCAATGCATGAGCATCACAGTCACACTGACCACTGTTCTCTGCGTGACATGGCGCGGTGAGATCATACCTATACAGGGCACTACTCGGCGTCTCGCCAAAAGGTATGGAGGTCCCACCAAACAAAAAAAGCCATCTACCAACTTTTGCAACTGTAAAAAAAAATTTTTAAAAAATTAAGGTTCAAGGGTCCCGTTATTTGAACTGCTTGAAATTTCTTTTAAGGAAATGAGTAAAACGGTTTAAAAAACCTAAAAAGAAAAGGATGTAACAAAACAACAAACATGTTGGCAAGAAGCCTTCTTCAGCAAACAAACAACAGTAAGAGCAATATAGAATAAAAAACACTTAGCTTCCAATAGAACAGCAAGAGGAATGTGACGGATCATAGGCAGGTGAGAGATTTGACTCGCTCAGAGATAACTCTCTCACCTACTTGTGTTTCCCTTATGACGTTGTAAAAATACCAACTGTATTGTTTGAGCTTAATATCAGTCCAATTTATGTTTATTAATTTTAAAGTTTATGTTTTTCTAATTAAAAATAATATTTCAAGCAAAAAAATAACATAAATGGGCATTATAATTTTTGCAGCAGAAAAAAAAATAAATAAACCCCAGCCTATTTCAGTTTTAAAATGCATGAGAAGACAGGCATGCAGAACCACTTACTCTTGATGAACTCACTTACTTGTATGGGAGGCTATTGTTGGAGGGACACTGTGGAAGTCATCTAAAAGCTGCCACTTTCTTGTGCTCAAGTTGAACCTCCACAACTGTTGACATAGCAAAATGATAAAAATATAAGCTAAGGTGTATCAATGCAAATGCAAAATTACAAAAATATTACTGTTTAGTAAACTGAGCCATTACAAGCATCAATATTTAAACTTGGGATTGTATCGTCTAAAGGAATATTAAAAAAAAACATTAAGGCAAAAACAAACAATTTCTCTTCAGATATTTCTATAAATTATATTGGTTTCAAAATAAAAATCTTGATTTAAGTTGAAACACATGTGTAAAATGTGTATTATGTTAATTACAATGACAGCAAAAAGGGAAAATTTAAAATTATTTTTGTTTAGTTTATCGATTGATATTGACCTCCTTAAATAGCGGATGTCCCCTGACATTGACTGGGGCAGTGTAACCCCCAAAGACAGGATTAAAGCCACCAAGCGCATACAAACTATCTTCAGTTACAATAATGCGATGACCACTCCGCCCAGTTGGACAGCAGGTGCACTTTGGTTCTGAAAAAAAAGATATTAAGTTAATTCTCAGGACAAAGAAATTCATGTATATTTTATGTAAGTGTTAAAGTCATCTAGAGCCCATCTCAAATTATATGTTCAGATATCATAGTGTGTACCAAGTATGCTCAACTCGACTAAATTAATAAATTAAATGCTGCTTGAATTTTTTTTTAAATTGTGTTACAAATGCAATTTTGCTTTCAAGCATGAGTCACAATGTGCAACTGTCCTTCTATCTAAGTTATCAAGGTTTTCGTTGTTAACCTGTTTTCACTTAAAGACTATTGGAAATATGTTACGCAATAACTTACCGAAGTCAATGTCATCCTTGTGAAAATCATTTAAATGTGTCACTGGATGAATGGTTTTTATCATGATAGCTACGATAGGTAGCTCGGCAGGGCAGTAGCATTTGTAACACTATTTTAAGCAAGAAGCCTTTTCCATAAATCAATAACTGTTAAAAAAAAAAAAAAAAAATTTTTTTTTCAAAATTTAGGCATTATATAAAATGGTGGAGAGAGAGAAATAAGAAATGAGCTCATTTAACCTACTCATTAAGTAGACTTTGGAGAAGAATATTCAGTCAGGCCTGCACTTGGCATAGACTAGAATTAAACACACTCTTCTTAAACAAGTGTCTTGCCATTAATGGTTGTTTTGCATGACACTGTGATAAGTGGACAAGCCTTGAATGCAATTATTATTGATCATTGTCGCCCAAGTCCCTGAAAAGAACTATTTTCTGAGTACCTGAGAAGACCTGTTTTAATAAAATTATTTTATTATTGAATTATTTTTTTTTACCAAAATATGAGGAAATAGCCAAAAATTGGCCAAAATAGCATATGATGTTCTATAAATTGTATGGATGCCCACCAATGATGTATAATGAGGGTGACTTAGCAATTGAATAACCTTAAAAATAATGCATCAAAACCTAGACATAGGTCTGTGTGATGCATTTTAAAAACTGAATAATAATTAGCCTACTGTTTAAGTGAGTTATTGGGTAAGTCACAAGTCTAAAAAATGCATCTACATGAAAATTTTGAAATGATCAGTTTTAGACAAAGCAGAAAATGCTGGTCTAGTGACTTGATAATGAATGATATTAATTAATTTATTTTAATTAAAATATTTTGGCCCTAGATCCAGTCCCTCTAGCCTAGTTAATAGTAAGTAGCATTTTTAAGTGGTAATCTAGAGCTTCGTTTTGGTAATGGTTGCTCGTGCATTGCTCAAATCGCTGAAAGATAAAAATTGCAAAGCTAAATGCACTTCTGACATTTAAGCTGGTTAGTTATCTTGTCATTCTGGTAATGTCTGGTAGTAAGTGTGAGCTGAAAAAAATATTTAAAACATGTAATGTAGGGGCCTATCATTGTCACTGAGTAGTTGATACTGCTGTCTGTGTTTATCATAAATTATAGTCGTGTATGAATACATGATGTGCAAGTTTGTGACCGCAGTGGTGTACCTAGCAAAACCATGTACTTTAGTCAGCATATTGGCGTATACTGTGAAGCCATATTAGTATTAGCTTTGGACTGCATACACCGTAGCATTAATAAAACGAAGTGTCTACACGTCCGGCGCGCCGGACGTGTAGTGCGCAAGATACACGTCCGGCGACTTGTCACGTGACCGCCGGACATGGCCGGACGGCTAGTAGTTTTTATAATTCCAAACGAAGTACGCTTTAGTACATCTTGTCTGGTCTTGTGGTAGAGTGGTTGCTTGACGATAGAAATGTTTGAGGATCTATACCGGGGATAGGGTCGTTTTTTTTCTTCCCATTTTAATTAAAATATTTTGTATATATTTATATTATCATGTTCCTCAGCAACAGTAGTTTCATGAGAAGTTTTTAAATATTTTGTAGCAATTGAAATAATTTAAAATGAAATCTTTAACTTTTATTGGTTGCCACACTGGCCCCTAATTTATTTTATGGATTACTGGTACACAAAATCTAACAAACTAAACAAAAATGTTTACAAGCCACTTTCACTTAAGTTTCTTTTTCTATTATTTGCATTCAAGATACTCAGTACATTACTTGGTAGAGAAATAGATTTTAAAATTAACAATAGTTTTGAATTATTCGCAGTCACGTGACAAGGCTGACCGACACGATATCTCTCGCCACTTTGTTACGGCGGTCATGTGACTTGGTCGCCGGACACATAGTGCGGGAGATAGACGTCCGGCGCGCCGGACGTGTAGACACTGCCTTAATAAAAAGATTTCAACCTTATAAAGGCTGTATCTCAAGACGACACCAAGACAAAGGACTAATGGTAATTTTTTGCAGCAGTGTACACAGGCCTAGGTCCATGATTTTCCTAGGTCTAGGTATACCGCCGTGGGGTACTCAGGCCGAAGTCCATAGTTTTGCTAGGTATACTGACAGGGTGTACGAGGCCTCTTCGTTCTTTATTAACTGCCCTAAACTATGTAAAACAATGTCTGCAAAGAGTTGTGAATCACATTTAACAAAATCAATGACATGTACTAAAGTCAACTCAACGTGTAATACTAAACAGTTAAACAGTGTCTTATAATAATAATAACAAAGCAAAGGCAAAGGCAAAGGCAAAGGCAAATCTGTTACTGTTGTACTCCCGTGTTCTCTGTGTAGACCTACTAATTACCACATTATTTTGATATAAATACTATACTATAAAAATTAATTACAGATATATGATATTTTGAGTAATCGCAATAGGACCTTAATTCAATTCATAACTGTCACATTGTTACATGTGAATGCGAGCAGTGGTAAATAAAATAAAAAAACAAAACATGTACCTTACCACCGGGGTTGCCAGGGTTTAGTTTTACCAAATAAGTTGCCGGAAAACTGTTTAAAAGGCTAAAAAAATATTTACTTAAAGTTCGTTATAGTAACTACAAGCCTATGCTATACGAATATTAATAAAGGTAATATAAACTGCAATTTTTCTTTCAGGAATCTCGCCGGAGAAAGTCAAGTGCGAAAGTATAATTTATTTTACAAACCTACTAATATTGTTTAGCTCTTTGAGTAAAATTAGTCTAGTGAAACGGTATGGCCAATGAAATATACAATACTATTTATTTAGTAAAAACTTAAAAATGTAGCATTTCTATAAACACAACCTGGTTGAAAGGAACCTAAATCTTTTTGCTCTCCAATTAAGTGTGGCATGATAAAAAAAAAACTTAGGCTTATTGGTGCCATTATTAATAAATTTATGATTATGGTTCAGCAGGTTAGGTTTAGGGATACATTTAGGGTTCAGGTTAGGTTTAGGGATACATTTAGGGTTCAGGTTAGTTTTAGGGATACATTTAGGGTTCAGGTTAGGTTTAGGGATACATTTAGGGTTCAGGTTAGATTTAGTGACAGTGAATTATACAAGTTCACGGGTCGTGGAAACCAAGAAGGCGGCCGTGTGATACGTCATGACACCAATTGTCTACATTTACCCTTCCCATTTCCGTTCAGTTGTCTCCGCGCCATCACTTTCTGCCCCTACCCTAATCGAAATGATACTGACGGCACCTTTGAGAAACAAACTCAATGTCAGTAGTTAAGATGATTTTTTTTTTTTTTTGAACTGACGCATATATTATTTTCCTTTAATTTTGTATATATAATATATAGTTGGGATAAATATTATAGATTCCATGAATAAAACGTAGCTAGAGCCAGAAGAATACCCTAAAAAAAAAAACGAATTTAGTTTATGATGGGTTTAGGAGTGGAGTTATAAGTTATAACTGATCCTCGTCGCCATTATGCCTAAATTTAACACTGCCCCAGGGAGGGTGTACCTGGGGGTAAGTGCCGCCCTGGTCGGGCCAAGAATTTTGCCAACCGACCCCCCCCCCACCCCCCGCCTTTTCCACGACCAAAACCTGCAGCACGCCCTAAAGTACCGCCCCCCCCCCCTCCATTATGAAATACATTCCCGGGGACGGACCGCGCTGTGTAAATGAAATTTTAAGAAAAGGAAATGTGACAGCTTGATAAACAACACAAGACAATCAAATAAAGGTTTTAACTGGATGCCTTTTAAGAAAAGGAAATGTGACAGCTTGATAAACAACACAAGACAATCAAATAAAGGTTTTAACTGGATGCCTCTGCAAAGACAACGATAAGAAAATTAAAGAAGAAAAAACAACAACTCAAGAGCAGCGCAGCTTATAATAGGGATTTAACAGGATTTAAATATAGCATGGACCATGGAAATGTTACCTAGGAATTATATTCACGTGTTCATTTAACCAATTAGCTCAGGCATATGGCTGAATATGGATATAGTTATGTAATGTAACATAAAGAAATGGGGAATTGAGAGGGGTGTCACTAAAGCAGGTTGCTACCAAATGAGATTGCCGCCAGAGCAGGTTGCTACCAAATCAGATTGCCGCCAGAGCAGGTTGCTACCGAATAAGATTGCCGCCAGAGGAGATTGCTACCAAATCAGATTGCCGCCAGAGCAGGTTGCTACCGAATGAGATTGCCGCCAGAGCAGGTTGCTACCAAATGAGATTGCCGCCAGAGCAGGTTGCTACCGAATGAGATTGCCGCCAGAGCAGGTTGCTACCAAATGAGATTGCCGCCAGAGCAGGTTAGGTTGACACCAGATCACTGCACCAGCCACCAGGCCAGGCAGATTCGGAGGAAGTCCACGGGGATGTCGTATGGAAGGGTTGGCACCACGATGTTTACCGCACAGGTTGACACCACTTCTCGAGACCGCCAACGATGTATTCACCTTTTTTTGACTTTGTTGTAACCAAGTTTTATGTAACGAAATCTGAAGACATCAACAGTTACCATAACTCACTTTTGCAAGAACGTGACTCACCCTCTAAAAAAAAAAAACAGAAAAAAAAACAACAAACGCTCTTAATGAATGTCCTTTAAAACACAATGACGCAGTCACGTGACTTATTTAAATCGTGGACTTTCAGTTGTTTTTTCTTTTCTTTCGTATTCTTCTTTTCTGCTGAACAGTTATATTTTAATAATTGTAGCTGTTGTCCTCTTAATCAGTGATTATTTCAGAAATTTGCCCCCGATGGGGGCGTTGGGGGGCACTTCAGATTTTTCTGGGGGGGGGGCAGTGCCAGTTGATTTATTGTTGGCCATATTTTTGGGGGGTACACTTGGGTTTTCACGCCCACCCCCCCCCCGAGATATAACTGAAAGAAACCCTGCTCTAAATCCATTGCGCAATCTTTGCATTCTTGAACACAGTGGCACACTTTGTGACCGATCCCAAAGGCATTGCCCAATTTATAATGCGTTTTCGATTGGAATTCTCTCTACAATCAGGTCTCGCTAGTCCAGATAAACAATCGGATCCCGAGCGTCCAATTCATCTATCGGGCCTCACCGACAGAGCACCAAGGCACCCCAGAACCCCACCACCACCACCACACACACCCCCCCCCCACACACACACACTCGATCTCCTTTGTAGCTCTCTGCAGCGACATATATCGGTTACATATTTATTGGTTCCATCACATTCAATGGATGGCTTGCTCAATACCAAGCATTCTAAAAGTAGAAACTTTGTCAGTGAAGGTCTTTTATCACGTGGAAACCAGGTCATCGATCGATTGATTTGTGGAACTGTTCCTCTGCCTAAGATACGGCGCTGCAGTGTCGCCCTTGGTTCATACAAGTGGTTCATTTCTGAGACGTTGGTTCTTGTGAGATGGCAATGGTCTGAAATAATAGCGTTCTCTGTCATTGCTTCTGGTGTCACGGCAGTGTACATTTGATTTTAGACTGACATGCTTCATTTGATCTGTGTTTGGAGATGAACCAATTGCGTTTAGTACCGATGGTCGCTTTGCTCTGATGTTAACGGTTACGGAGGTAAGAGCCCTAATTTTTTGTATAGAAATAGTTACGTACAAGCGATATAATGATGTTTCGTTACATTTTCAATAATACATAAAGTAAAAGCTGAGCTGTAAATAACATGATGGGAGGCGTAGAGAGAGAGAGAGAGAGATGGAGAGATAAAGCAAGTGAGTGAGTTGAGTGGGCGAGTGAGTGGTTGGGTAAGTGATTGGCTGAATGAGTGAGGGAGTGAGTAATGAGTGAGTTGGTGATTTGGTGAGTGAGTGAGTAAAGAAGCGGGTTAGGTAGTGAGTGAGTGGGTTAGTAAGTGGTTGAGTTGGTGATTGAGTGAGTGGTAGAGAGAGGTAGTGAGTGAGTGGGTTAGTAAGTGGTTGAGATGGTGATTGAGTGAGTGGTAGAGAGAGGTAGTGAGTGAGTGGATGGGTGACAGTGTGTGAGTGAGTGAGTAAGGGAGGGGGGGTGAATGAGTGGGTGAAAAATGAGTGAGTAAGTGACTGGGTGGGTGAATTAGTAGTGAATGAGTCAGATAGTGAGTGAGTGGGTGAGTGACTGAATGGGTGAGTGGGTGGGTTAGTGGGTAAGAGCGAAGAGGGGGGGTATGAAGGGAAGGAGAGAGGGGGTGGAAAGAGAGATAGGGATTGAGGGATAGAGAGGCGGTTATGGGAAGAGATAAAGAACGAATGAGATTAGTGTGTGAGAGATAGTGACGTTCAGGCCCAGAGGGTAGACGGTGGGAGTCAAAGGCGGAAATCACTCTTATTCTCGGCGCCCTTCATTCGTGTCTTTTTCTGGAAAAGATTGTAATTGTCGCATTTGGGCGCACCCCCCCAACCCCAACCCCCCCCCCACCCTCTTTTTTTTCTATCAATTCCCAAATAACTTTCCTTTTCCGGTTATAATTTTTTTTAAAATATCATTGTGAATTTGAAAACAAAACTATTTAAAAACTGCACCCTAGATATATCAGTTATAAATCAGTGGTTCTCAAAGTGGATGGTAACAGAATCTTTGGAAGCTGGGATAAAATGTGGATACAAAATAAAAAAAGGTTATGTAAAAAAAAAGGGGGGGGGGTGGGTATTGCTGTGGCGCAGGTATGTGGATTATTTGGGGGGGGGTGGTATTTCCCCTTAGAAGACTAAAATAAGACATAGGCCACCACCAAGAGATTTTCTGGCGCCCTGATTCAGGATAATTCTCTAACTACCCCCAGTCTTGACTCTTTCCCCATCTTCCTTTTTCCACTGCATTGCAGGTGTGCATTTATTTAAAGGAAAACGTTTCTACTTTCTGATTGAGATCGGCATGTTATGTTGCGATTTATTTTCTTTTTTTAAAAAAAGCCAATTTCTGTTATAGTTTATTATGCCAACCAACTCACAACCTTTATCGATCCGAAATATCTACTTATTCTTTGATTTATTAATCAATTTCAATGCCGGCCCCTTAATCGATCTAATCGTATTGAACCGTCGGAATATTTCAGCTTGACTTTTATTAAAGAAAAAAAAAAAAGAATCTTGGGTGGAATGGAATAAGCCTTTAATTATATGTTAGTGTAACTTGACCCTGTTTGATCCTCCTAATTGTTGGGATTTGGGTCTCAAACAGACCCCCCAGCCCCACCCACAAGACTATAATAAATGAATTCGGGATGTAGGCCGTGGATCGAAAGGATATTGAGGATTCTGTAAAATGTTAAACGTAATCAAGGTCGTGATTTGGACAGGAAGTGGGTGTGTCAATTTTCATTCTTATTGTTGGGTTTTCATTGCTAAGTGTCATATTTTAATAGAAACTGTTCGAAATTCAATTGTGCTTTTACGTCACCCAAAATGGACCAGGAACGGGAGGAAATAATCTAAAGATAAAAACGAACAGACGTTGTTTTCTTTCTAATGTTTAATGTACTACTTTGGGTTTCCTCAATCTCTTCA